GAGGGGGGGGTGAGCAACGGCTGGCAAGGAGTGACAGGCTTCTACAGAGCGATGAAAGACACAGACTCAAAGCTGGATGGACAAGCAAAGAGACGTATAAAGTGAACAAAAACAAAAGCCCACGCAAAAATTTTAGCGAAACAGAGGTGAGATATTGAAGCTTTTTCAAGTATCATTTTTTTAAAAAATCGTTATTTTGCTAATGGTAATTGTAAAGCTCCGCTTTTAAGCTTTGCTCGTGACTATGTACACACAAGAAAAAATGTATAAATGTTCTAATTAAAGCTCTTTGATATTATATCACCGTTCTGTTGTTGTCTTTTTTTAGATTTTATTTTCGGGCATGCCCTGCAAAGTTTTGGTAAAGTAAGACACGTCTTGTGTCGTGTTACCATCAGCACGTGCTGAAATTCATGCATAATGTGAATACTGACTTTTGCGGTTTTTGTTTTCCAAGTACATGTATGTGTATTATGTATTGTATTCGGGTGTCACGCTCGAGCGAAGCACTTGATCAAATGTTTTAGAAGCATTTTAGCTTGTCGTCACTCTTTGGTGCTCATCAGAGAGCAGTTTTTGGGAGAGTAAAGGTTATGAACTTTGGGAAACGAAAGCAGTGGGGATGGAAAGTAGAAATGTAGTCGTAATAGAAACGAATTATGTGTTGTATCGACTTCCTGAGTTTCTTTTTCGTTTCGTCTTGTTCTTGCTGGGTTGGGTTGGGTTTTTTAAAAATAATTTTGGGAGTGTTTAGCAGAGACTGCATCAATATCCTAAAACACGTGCCCAATTCGAAAATAGGAATTATAATTTATTATTTGTTCCTTCGTAAAAATACGATTTAAGTAATGGATACTTTGCTTTCTTGAAACTTTTGTAATAGTTAAATGGAGAAAAAACAAGAAATTAAATTATAATTTATTCACTCATAGTCTGATATATGATATTTACAACTTTTCAACACCTCTTACGAAAGTGTTATTTTTCTGTTTGCTTTTTCCAGGCTCACAGGGGACGATCGTTGTTCCTTTTGTTTTGTTTTTGTTTGCATTGTTGCTGCGGCTGCACCTATTGCTGCTGTTCTTGTTATTGCAGGTGCTGCTGTTGTTGCTGATATTTATAGACGAAAAAAAGAAGGAAAAAAACTAGCAGCTGTCTTGTTGGTATTGTCTTTGTTGAGTGCAGTTGTTGGCTGCATAACATGCTTTCTTTTTCCACTCAGTTGACAATGACAGAAATGGCTTTTGTTACATAGGGATGAAAAAGATCGAAAGCTTTTCGAGTGCCAATTTGTTCGTTCTTCCATTAATTCACATATCCGCTGTCAACTTGTTTCTATTTACAAGGATGGATAGATTTGTTACATAGCTCTCTGCTTTTTACCTTTTCGCACGTTTTTATTGTCGTTTTGCTTTGTTTTGTTTTGTTTTTTCTCTTACAAAGTCTACATAAATGAGGAATGTATTTTACATGCGTGACGGTATGATCTGCAAATCTTTATTAGTCTGCGATTGGAGTACCAGGTACCTAATGTGAAAATATGATGATTATTGTTCTTGTTGCGTGTGTACGCTTATGTATACGTGATTGATTGCTTGTTTTTTTTGTATGATTGGTTACCTAATTCGTTAGTTGATACATTGTTTTGTAATTGCATTTCTTCATTGATCGATTTATATACCCTTTGATATAGTCACGTATTTGTGCTGCTTATTATTATTATCTATCTATTCCAATTATTTCCTTCTATTTCGTTTCATGTTCTAAATTCTTGATTTTTTATTAATATCTTTTTAAATTTTTGTTTAAAGAAATTTTAAAATATTTCTTGATTGCTTTTATTTACGTAGTCTACATTTATTTATTCAATAAAAATTTTTTAATTCTTTAAGTTTAAGGGTTGAAAGAGCACAATTAGCGAGTCATTTGAATGAAATGTCACGTGAACATCTTTAAATTTGAGAACCTCCTCGATGTTTGTTTTAAAACGTGTTGTAATTGTTACTAATGTTCTTGTTGGAGTTATTGTTGTTGTTCTTGGGTAGTTTTTGTGCATTTCGCTTTGATTTTGCTCTTACATTTTTTAATGGGTTGTGTCAAGGGGGTGATTTGTTCACTTACTATTCTGCTTGTTTTTGTTATCATTTTCAATGCCATCTCACAAAACACAGTTTCT